GCGACCAGGGAGCCGCGCGCGTACCCGCCGCCAGCTCGTCCTTGAGCGCCACCAGAGCCGAATCGGTGGACGTAGCTTGGCGAGGCGGTCGATGAAGTCAAGCGGGGCCCGAGATAGCTGTGGTCACGGCCTCCTCCGTGTCATGGCGAAAGAAAGGGCGTCCGCGATCGTGTTCGTGCTCCCCGCCTTTGTACTCGACGGAGAAGTCGAAGCCGAGGAGCTTGCCCACCCGGTGGTCTTTGTGGAATGGTAATGTTACCGATCCAAGAGGAACTTGAGACCGAAATGGTCGGTCCGTACCACAAGCGGCGTCCCCACAAGTATGGCTCTCAATGGCGGATGGATGGGGCGAGGCCAATGAGTTCACGTTCGTGCTGCCGCGCCAGGCGCGCATGGCGTGGTGCGGTCGGCCCGGTGAAGAACGCCCGGTGGTCCGATCTGAAGAGCACCGCACCGAACCCGAATTTGACGCGTCGCACTCGGCGGCACGGCGCTTGTTGAAGTCAGGCGGCGAGAACAGCGCCATCGTCCACGATCGCCATCTTGAGGGCGACGCAAAGCCGCGCAGCTTCCGAGTCCGAGAAGCCTTCCTTGCAGGAGGAGGCGGTCGGGGCGGCGATCGTCTTGAAATTCTCGACAAACTTGCGGTAGTACCGCCAGCCGAGAAGCCCCGGACCGCCCACGCCGAAGCGAGGCTGCTGCCCGGTCGACCCGCTTGGACCTTGGCGGGATCCATGGCGACACCCGCAGCGGAGATGATGTGGCCGAGGTAGGAGATCGATTCGACCCCGAACGCGCACTTGGATCGCTTGACGAAGAGCCGATCTTCTTTGGAAGCGTCTTGAGACGGTAGCGACGTGGCGAAGATGATCGGCCCATGACTCGTTGTAGATGAGGATATCGTCGAAGAAGACGAGGACGAAGCGACGTAGGAAGGGGCGCAGAACGTCGTGCATGAGCGCCTGGAATGTTGCCGGCGCATTGCAGAGGCCGAACAGCATGACGAGGAATTCATAGAGGCCATCGTCGGTGCGGAAGGCGTTCTTGGCGACGTCGTCGGCGCGCATCCGAACCTGGTGGTAACCGGAGCGCAGGTCGAGCTTGGTGAAGAAGCGGGCGTGGCGGAGCTTCGTCCAGTAGTTCGTCGACCACGAGAATCGGGAACGCATCCACGATTGTGATGGCGTTGAGGGCACGATAGTCCACGCAGAATCGCCAGAGCCATCGCCCACGGACCAAGAGAAGCCGCGACGAGAGCAGAAGAAGAGCTGGCGCGAATGATGCCTGGGCCATCATCGCGGTGCATTGGCGCTCAATTCATCCTTGTGCGCGCGGGGGTAGCGATGCGGCGGACAATGACCACCGTAGGCGGATCCGGCGAGAAGGTTAATGCGATGGTCGGCGTGTGCGTCTTGGGAGGCATCTTAGGAGGGCTCGGCGAAGACGGGAGCAAACTCCTCGAGGATGGCGGTGAGGAGGACGACATGACGAGGAATTCGTGGAGGGGATTGGAGCGCAGCAGAGGCCCGTAGCGGAGATGGAGAAGATCCTTGAAGCGGCGTCGGAGGGAATGCCCTCGTCATGCATGGACTGGATGTACCACGGTGGGCCCTCCTCCAAATTGTAGGAAGCCATCCACACTTTCTCCTCCTCCATGATCCTTTGTTGGTGGAAATAAGATTCGCACCGGCTGAGGAAGATCAGCGGGTCAGACTTGCCGTCATAGCGCGGGAAGTCGAGCTTTTGGAACCGCGGTGGCCGATCTTGGTGGTGCTCCCCTGTCCCGGAGTGTGAGGAGGATGATCCACCCGCCGGTGGTGGCGCGCAGCGCCCGGTATTTGAATGGCTCGGGCGTTGGCCTCCACGGACGTCTGAGGCGTCGATGGACGCGACCGTGGAATCAAGGTCGCTTTAAAGCGGCGTTGTTGGCGTTGTTCACAGTGTTGTCGCCCATGGCGTGGATGCGGCGTGGGGTGGGCGGCGCAGAGGAAGGGCGGAACGACTGTGGCGGCGATGGTGGGCGGCTGGGAGAGGAATTCCTGGACCGTGATACCAAGTTGTCAAAGGCGTCAATGCCCAAGGCAATGGGTCTCGGCCACGGAGCTCGTAGCCTCGGTGATAATGGCGTCGGGGTTGTTGCCCATTTGCCCAATGGTGAAGGAGGTGAGATTAGGAAGAAGAGAGAGGATTAGGATTGGTAATTCTTGATTGATTTCCAAGAGTGCCAATTACATGGGATATATAGGCCCGTGGCCATCTAATAAAAAGGAAACAAACTCCTTTATTCTAGCAATATCTAATCCTAGCATTATCTGATTGCATGGCTGCATGCCTCAATCAACTCCTAGATGCGTGGCCGGCGTCGATACTGGACGCCCCACATGACAAGTCATGACCTGTTGAAAAAAAAAGAGAATAGAACTGCTATAATATTGAGCATTGTAGCTACAAGAGAGATAAATATCACCCAGAATAAATGGTAAAGCCTAATTTCATATCAGGAAGCATACTATGGGTGTGTTTGGTTCAGCTGTGTGCCATAAATATTAATGAGGAGTATTTAAAGTTGGGATTTGCTAAAATTCAGGTGCCTAAATTTTAACTTTCTTTCAGACAACGGTTATTGCATAAATTTTTATGTTAAAATTACAGTTTTAGTTCGTTGCAATTTGTATAGATATAATGTGCAATTTTCGGGTCCGAGAATAAACAAAACCACAAACCTAACAAAATTTAATTTGTGTTAGCACAAAAACAATTAACAATTTACAATTTATTTCTATAGTTAGACAAGGACAAAATTTTAATAATATATTATAATACAAAAAACAATTAATAAATCACAAGAGGGCAGATGATGTGATAAACAAAAGAGGCAAGAAACAGGTTTCTACTAGCCACTGCAGGTAGCAACGTCGCCTGACAGACTAAAATAATCAGGCACCCGATGAATAGGAATTGTGTTTAAAGTATTCTACAGTATCTAAAATCATTTCATGACATGGAATACTACTCTTTGTTTTAGCTTCATCTGCAAGACACGTGCACAATTACTAGCAAACAAGAACTTAGGCACAATCTATCAGGACACAGTTACAGAGGCAAACACTTCTTGTTAGATCCATCAGCGTATAAAAGAACCGTGCAAAACTACAAACATAAGCACTAAACAGGAAGTTTGTTTTTAAAAAAAATTACTGAAGTAGACATTACACGCTGGAGGGATTGTCAGGGAAAGAAGAACATGATTGCCTAAAATTACCAAGTTAAACATACTGACTCACCATCCAGTAAAGCACTCACCACAGCCAAAGTCAGCTACCACTTTGCCAGTTATGTCATCAAAACTATTCTCTACCTGGTTGTTTATCAAATCAACATGAATATGATAAACCTAAGTAGTAAACATCAAATCGTAAGCAGTAGAATTTCAGTATCTGATTACCACTTGCACCAGAACGACACAACCACAGAGAAGGAATAATCTACTCAAACTAGTTGTACCGAAGGCTTTTGCATACACTTTTACAAGACTAACAGCCAAGCAAAACATTACCAAATGTTGAATTATAGATTGATATACAGACCAATAAGAATTGGAATATTCCCAAGTTTGGGCTTCAATGGAATCATGAACAAAATGGAAGAAAGAGCTATGTTGTTCCAGTTTTTAGGCAACAAGCATTTTGATAAAATATGTTGATTAACCACAGAAGAAGGACCCACACATGGTTTTTATTGACTTGGAGAAGGCTTATGATAAAATACCAAGGAATGTTATGTAGTGGGCTTTGGACAAACATAAAGTCCCAACGAAGTACGTTGGGCTCATTAAGGACATGTACAACAATGCTGTGACTAGTGTTCGAACAAGTGATGGAGACACGGATGACTTCCCAATTATGATAGGACTACATCAAGGGTCAGCTTTAAGCCCTTATCTGTTTACCTTAGTGATGGATGAGGTCACAAGGGACATACAAGGGGACATCCCTTGGTGTATGCTTTTCGCGGACGATGTAGTGCTAGTTAATGAAAGTCGGACATGAATGAATTAGAAACTGGAGTTATGGCGGGAGACTTTGGAGTCCAAAGGTTTTAGACTCAGTAGAACTAAAACTGAGTATATGAGATGTTACTTCGGCACTACTACTCGGGAGAAGGAAAATATTAGTTTGGAAAGTCAAGTAGTGCCTAGGAAGGATACCTTTCGATATTTAGGATCAATGCTACAGAGAAACGGGAATATTGATGAAGATGTTAGGCATACAATCAAAGCAGGGTGGATGAAGTGGCGCCAAGCATCCGGTGTCCTATGTGACAAAAGGGTACCACAGAAGCTAAAAGGCAAGTTTTATAGGACGGCGATTAAACCTGCTATGTTGTATGGTGCAGAATGTTGGCCTACAAAAAGACGACATGTTCAACAGATAAGTGTCGCGGAAATACGTATGTTGCGTTGGATTTGCGGTCATACAAAAAGGGATCGAGTTCGGAACGATGATATACGTGATAGATTAGGGGTAGCACCAATTGAAGAAAAGCTTGTCCAACACCGGTTGAGATGGTTTGGACATGTCCAACGGAGACCTCCAGAGGCACCGGTACGTAGTGGAATCCTAAGCCAGGATAGTAACGTGAAGAGAGGCAGAGGAAGACCGAAGTTGACTTGGTTAGAGGCAATAAAAGAAGACTTGAAATGATATAATATACCCAAAGACTTAGCCTTAGATAGGAGTGCTTGGAAAACAGCTATTCACGTGCCTGAACCTTGATTGCTTTTGCTGGGTTTCAACTCTAGCCTACCCCAACTTGTTTGGGACTTAAAGGCTTTGTTGTTGTTGTTGTTATGGTATGAACAGCATACTCCACATGATCTGTGGGACCACTAACCATTATATCAGATGATCCAGATGAAATGGATGCTTTCAAAATGTTGATTAACCACAAAAAACAATTGCACACTGTGGGAAAGAATAGAAAATGAAATTTACCATCGGTCAGGCAGCTTCTCCTCTCAGTTCATTAACCACACTGCCAGAAGCCTCATGAATGTTATCAGTCACCATTGAATATGTCTCAGAGTCAATCCGACAATGTCTATTCTCCATAGCAGACAGCAACTGTGAACACAAATCCACATGGCCAGCTTTGAGCAAACCATCATTCAAAATTTTCCATGCAACTTCATTATGATTATAGTCCATTCCTAGTAAGTCACAGAACAGTGATTTAGCCTTGTCATAGTCCCCCTCATTACAGAGGCCTATAATAAGATAGTGGTAGGACTCGAGATGAGGCTGAAACCCAAATTCTATCATGTCGGTAACAAATGACATGGCCATTTCAAAGAGCTTGATATCACAACAACACTTGATAAGCATTGTGTATATCTCTTCATTGGGAGATATATCTTTTTCATGCATATGATCAAGAAGCACACATGCTTCTTCTAGACGTGTTGCTTTGCAGAATCCTGCAATGATAGAACTGTATGTCACTGCTGTAGGATTTAAGCCATGCTTCACCATCCTTTCAAGAAGCTGCCAAACTGTGTCCAGCTCAATCCAGTTCCACATGCCAGATGTGTCTACATAATGAGCATTAACCAAACTCATTTTTAGAAAATGCTTGAGCAAAAGCCAATAAGTCCAGTAATTTGGCTCACATGATGCATCTATCATGCGCTTCAGAGTAGAAAATGCACGATCCATATATCCCATATGCCCACAGCCATTAATGAATACATTATAGGTTACCACATCAGGTGCGACACCGTCTCTTTCCATTTCCCCAATTAGATGCTCAGCCTCCTCTATTCGACCTATCTTGCAGTCCGAGTTAATGAATACAGTATATGTGGTTGCACTAGGCTTATGTCCTGATGAAATCATTTCATTGAACATGCTCTTAGCATGATCATGCTTCCCTTCTTTGATCATTTCACTGATAATTATTGTATAAGCAACAATGTTACACTTGACTCCACTTAGGGTCATCTGATCCAGTATAGACAAAGCTTCATTCAGCTTTTTTTGTTTACATAAAGCCTGCAACAGTACACTATATGTGTACGAATCTGCCTTACAACCCTCATTGACCATCTTCTCTATAAGGACGGCAGCAAAGTCAGTATTGCCTGCCTTGCTAAAACCATCAACTAAGGATGTATATGTCACCTCTGTGAGGACGACTCGCTTCCTGACAAGAAATGAATAAGCTTCTTCAGCTCTTCCAGACTTGCATAGTGCATCAGTTAGGACATTGTATGCTTGCTCATCAGGTATCAAGCCATTCTGCTCCATCATTTCAAATAACCTGAAAGCATTATCAAATTCATGTTTTTTTGCACTGGCCTTGAATCAGAGTAGTATAAGCGATAACACCAGGAGTTATCCCATCCTCTTGCATTTTAGTTACTAAAGCCATTGCCTTATGAAGCTTTTGATCCTGAATTAACCCATATATCAAAGAACTGTAAGTCCAGGCATTTGGACGGCAACCTTCATGTTCCATCAATTTGAAGACCTCTAGTGCAGCAACAACCTTCCCAACCTTGCAATACCCATCAATTATAGAGGTGTAGATGACAACATTAGGAGCTAAACCATATGCAAACATCTCGTTCAGCGTCTCTTTAGCCTCTTTTAATCTACACTTCTTGATGAGGACATTGATCAACACTCCATATGCCTGTAAATCAAGTTTGCAATTGCTTGATATCATGCACCTCTTTACCCTGAGTGCATCATCAATCCTTTCAGCCTTGCAATACCCATTAATGATGTTAGTGAATGTGATAACTGTAGGTGTGAAGCCCCTCGCAATAGCGCCATTCAGCAATTCTTCGGCTTCGTCTGGCTTCCCACCACATAGGCCATAAATCAGACTGTTGTATGTCCAGTCATCTGGATTACACCCATTTCGTTCCATCAGTGCCTTAATCCCCAATGCATCCTCCATCCTTCCTGACTTACACTACCCATCAATCATTGCATTATACGTCCAAACACTTGGAACCACCCCTCTCAGAGGCATTTCATCAAGCAACCCCCTGACATCATGAATCCTACCCTCCTTACAAAGACCTTTGATCAAGAGTGTATATGTGTGCAGGTTCAGGGAGCACCCATCTTGTACCATCATGAACAGAAGCACAAGTGCCTCCAGTACACACCGTGCTTCACAGAGCCCCTGAATCAAAATGGTGTAGGAGTACTCGTTCCTCCTGCAACCCATCAGTGGCACCATCATAAGCAGCCAGCAAGCCTTTCTCAAGTCACCTGTTCGGCAGTACCCCAGCAACAATGCATTACAAGTGCATGTATCCATCTCCATCCCAGACTCCCTCAACAGACGGAAATACCGGTGCGCTATGGCGAGACTGCCCTTCTTGCAGTATGCCATGATCATAGTGTTGTAAGTCACTGTGTCTGGCAACAATCCCTCCTGCACGAGGTGCGAGTACAACTTCCCCATATGCTCGGTCATGTCGAATCGCAACAGCGACCTGAGCGCCAAGTTGTAGCACTTTGGGGACAGCACGAGTCGCTTACCACCCACTCGACGGATTGCCTGAATTGCGTCGACGGCCTCGCGCATGTCCTCTGCGGTGCCGGAGCAGCTGATCATGGAGACGACGAGCTTGTCGTAGTTAGCGGGCGCGCGGCGGCGGGCGAGGAGCTGGAGCAGCGCGGCGTGGGAGGCGGCGGTGTGGTGGAACCCGGGGCGGCGCGCGACCCACTCGAAGAAGGCCAGAGCGGTGGCCGGGTCGAGAGGGGACACCGGGGTGCGGAAGAGGGCGGCCACGTGCGCGGCCGTCACGGAGGGGGCCAGCCGCTTGTAGGCGCGGCCCTTGTTCCAGCGGCGCGTGGAGATGACGCGGCCGAGCTCCGCGACGATGTCCGGGGTGGATGTGGAGGCGACGGCGGCGGCGGGGCGGGGGACGGGCGGGAGGCGGCGCATGGTGGCGGCGGCGGCCTTTAGGGTTCAGGGTTCTGCGGGGCGGCGGCGACACGGAGGCGGCGGCCGCGGCGAAGCGGAACGAATGGCCCGACTCTAATTTCTGTCGCTCTCTCTAATACTCCACGATATGCCATTATAAAACGGGTACGCTCAATCCCGTCGACTCCGTAGGATTCGGGTCTGGCGGTCGGCGGCCCCTCCCTCCCGCTGCGCCGTCGCCTCTATCCGCTCCCTCCTCTCCCCGTCTCCCGCCGCCCTCCCCTGCCGCTGTGGCGCCGTCGTCGCCTCCTCCCGCGACGCCCGAGAATCGATCTGTTGCGGCCGCTTCCCCGACGTCGAGGGGAGGACAGCTGCGCCATCTTCTCCACCACGCCGCGCCTGTCTTCACCTTCGCGTTCACGCAAGGAGGATGCCCTGCGGCTGGCCGGCGTGGATCTGAGGCCACCACTTCCAGAGCATCGCCCGACCCTGTTTGCACTCTGTCAACGGCCACCACCGTCAAGCCGTCACCGTCCGCACAGACCCGCCCGGTGAGCACTATTATTTGCCCAGACGAACCTCATCCTTTCTTGCATTTCATATCACTGGCTGATGACTACTCGGACATAATTTTATATATTGTCAAATATGCAACTAGCTGCAGTTTACTTATTCATGCATCAGCATACACATACCTTCATAGATGAACGTAATTTTATCTATAATGGATTCGTACAAGCCAGGGCCTATATGACCAAATGCACTCCTACAGAGCATGATTATTTTAAGAATAGAGTTGAAATTACCAGCTGATGAACTGATGGGACTAGTACATTCGACGATTATATACTACTTGTGATGGTCGTCAGTTCCTTTTTTCTAACTACTCATTGGCAATTCACTATTATCAGGTTTGATCTTGGCCTTGTCCAAAAAGTCAGTGCCAGTAGCCCTGTCACCGCAAAATCAGAGTATGTTACGTTCTACAATTTGTTTTGCTTGTACAGTGACAACAATTAATTATCTGGAGGATTATTATTGTCACTACCATGCTAGTCTACTTTAATAATCCCATATATGGTATAGAAGTCTACTTTTATGTCTATTACTAACTGCGAAAATGTACTACTATCGACTAGTATTTAATTGTGCACTGCATCATAGACTCGTGAAAAACTTGAACATTTTGATTCCGTAGAATATACATACGGAAAACTTCTTCTATCAAAGACTTATACTTAAGGTGAACTCTGATTAGCTCTATTATCTGTCCTTATTGTACACAACTCAGCGCCTTGTTCCTTGCCTACAGTTTAATTTTGTTGCTTGTAGTAACTTTTAAGCTAAAAAATGGCCTAGAACTAAGGTGATACAAATTTGAAATAAACCGAAGTATGAGGGATTTAAAATGTATGTTAAACTACGAATGTGGATACCTTATGCTAAAACTGCCTACCATAATTTCAGATCCATTATTCAATTTATAAACCCTTTTGCTATTTAACAAACCTGAATTGAATTACCTTCTGTTTAAATAACATGAGCTTTCCTGCTCGCTGAGAGGTCATCGACCCTTGAGTACATAAATTTGCCATAACTGAAAACCATCATTGCAGGACCTGATGCATGGACCTTTCATCTCGAGTTACAATATCAACAATTAATAATTCTGCTGCCATTGTGAATCATCTGTTTTTGGTCTGCTAAGACGTTACTGCAGCAATATTGAATTGCCTCCATTTGACCATTTGTTCCTGTCACGTTTAAATTGATGAAGGTGAAAAAAGCCATAGTCTGTGACTGCTGCGGCTGGTTGCAGCTGCTGCTGGCTTGGCTATTGCAGCCAGCTTGCCGAACACCCCCGCAGTCTTGGGCAGAGGGAGTACTCAAAACCCCGACTGCCGATGGATCTCCTCTCCGCTGCGTACGGCGCTACCTCCGACGACGAGGATGCTGCTGGCCCACCGTCCTCCACGCCGGTTGCCACCGGGTCCGCCTCCTTCGCTCCACCTCCCCTGAAGCGGCCGCGGTGGGAATCTCACCAATACCTCCCTCCAACCCACTGCTTCCCGCAACAGCCCCTGCTCAACGCAGCAACACCGCTGGCATCTCCATCCAGTGGCAGGTACGTTTCCAAGAGGGAGCGTGCTCTCCTGGCTTCATCGCAGGCACATGTAGAATCCGGATCACCCCTGCCTCCGCGGATGAGTATGGAGTTTGATTGCACAGGTGAGCTTTTTGGGCCCCCATTGCAGCAGATTGAAAGATGCTGATTATCCTAGCATAAAATTCGTCCCGGGTTGCTGGTTAGCTGCTCCCATGGGAAGACACCAGCTTCACCAGACTGCTTGCTGGGTTCAGGATAGTTTTATGTGATTAGTTCTGATAAATTGATTTGTAATAGTGTAGTGGATCCCAGGATGAATTTAATCTTCCATGATTAGATGTCTGAAATGGTTTAAACTGTTTGAAGAACAATGTTCAGGGGTCTTGGATAAAGGCTGATAAAAAGCTTGTTTCGTAATATCCAATTGTTGTGTGAGAAAACCGAAGTGCTTTGTTTCAAGGGTCCTGTTTTCTGTTATCATGATGATTTCACGAGGAACTAGTTTAGGGAGTGACACATCTGTACTTTAGTAGTATTTTTATATGTTGCTTGAGCAGCCCATTTTCTACCTTCTGTATTTCTGTAACAGTGAACATGTTGTTACAGATGGCTCTATCACCTATACAAATCTACGAGCTGACATTTTGCATTCCTTGCGATGCCAACCAAAGCCTGGACCAAGCACAAGTTTCCCTTTGAAGCTCTCAGTTTGTTTGAAGGGTCACACTAAGGCAATCAACTGTGTGGATTGGTCACCAAGTCATGGTTAGTAATTATTCTTACATAGTTCTGCTTCCATGATCTTTACTATTCTGTTTGACTTATGTTATTAATGAGTAAATGTTCTTAGATCTTTATGAGTTAGCCATTCTCTAGGGTCGTGCATTAGGATATTAAGAGAATGCAGAATTCTCCCCCTTCTAATCAAGACAATGCATTGGTTTTACAGCAGTCATGGGGATTTGGGGTATGCAATTTGAGATACAATAAGGTGGTTCAACATGACACGTTTTCTACTTCTCTTATAGTAACCTGGAAACAAAGTGGGTGCCCGGTGCTGTGTGTTGGTATTGATGTTGTTACCAACATTAAAATTGAAACTGGCAGAGTATTATCTATAAATTTTGGCTATGAGAAGTTTTTTCCCCTATTCTACAAGAAAATGGCAATATTAGACGTTGCACTGGGTTGTCCTTCCACCATACAAACATGGATTTCTCTACTAACATGTTTGACATGTTCTTCTGGCATTCTCAATGTTCTCAACAATCTGGCTACTAGCCCTAGTAGATTAGCACTGAGCCATCTAAACTCACAGTACGAATGATGATGCTATGAAGGTACACGGTAACATTGTAAGTCTAAGAAAACTACAAAAGGTTGTCATGTAGGGAATTTTCACCTTTTTGCTTTTGAATGCTTATATTAACTCTTTAGAGAAGGCTATCAGGACTGAACTGACCATTCTGAAATTCTGATCTTATGCAAACCAAGAAATATCACCTCCACTATCCCCTTGATCTTCACCTTCGATTTTGTACTTCTAATCTTCTATGGAAATGCTTACAATCCATGTTTCTTGGTAATTTGATGTCAAATAGGGATGCTTTTGAAATATTACATTTTGGCAATATCTTCATGGAATTTTCCTTGTTATTCTTCGTGCTTCACTTTTAACTAACACTATTAATAATATGGTGCACATGTCGATTTGATAGGAAGTACCAATGCATGAGATGAGTTGTTTCATAGAATCACCAGCTTCAAATTTTGTTGGTTGGTTAATTGAGATATTGCTTTTGACATACAGTACAAAATACCCATGATGATTTTGCATGGCTTTTATTTAAATTAGTCTCACTCAATAGACATTCACAAAGAAAAGTATCTGCAGGGCATCTTCTTGCTTCTGCTGGAATGGATCACACGGTTCATGTATGGAACGTATGGGACAAGGGGAATACCACTGCTCGTGTTTTGAAACATCACACTGCTGCTGTAAAGGATGTAAGGTGGTCCCTTCATAGGCCCTTTTTACTTTCTGGAGGGCTTGATTGTTCTGTACAGCTAGTCGATGTTGTTGAGGGAAAAGTAATGAAAGTATTCAAGGAGGATCAAGCTGTGGAGGTTATCAAGTTCAATCCAAGCAACCCCGATATCTTCCTATCTGGTGGGTCCAAGGGTTCCCTTAGACTCTGGGATATTCGATGTGGTCTGGTAACAAAAGAATTTCATAGAAACCTTGGAACCATCCTTGACATTGACTTCAGTGCTGATGGGAGACAATTTATCTCTTCAACTGACACAACCAGAAGCAATATTAGTGAGAACACTATAATTGTTTGGGATGTCATGCGACAAGTTCCTTTATCTAACCAGGTAATAGGCGTATAGCTCTATATTAGTCTGTACGTGTATGTGGTTCTGATGCCATCTTTGTTAGTACCTTATGAACATGTTGCTTCTATTTGCATGCAGTCAACATGTGGTACAACACTTTAAAAAAAGGTCAAAATTTGAAACCTGGTTAGTTTTGTTATATCAGCCCTGTTAGAGATTATATTTTTACAATTTCCACTTGGATATATCTGTTGTGATATGTAGAAGTTGAACATAGTATTTCAGCATATTCATGAGAGAAGTAAAACCCGTCTAATCATGCTGCAGCACTAATGGGACTGGAGCATTGTATCAGAACATATTCTAGAAACCATCATAAGTTGTGACCGTATGTTGCACTGAAGTTCTAATTTAGCAGTTTGTTTGTATAGATTTACAAGTTGCTCACTGTTGAATATCTGTTCTGCCAATTCTTGAAAAAAAATGGATTTACAATTCTTTGTTTCATAACCCATGCTGTATCTGCTGAAGTAGGTACCCCAAATTACCAACATGATTAGTCTATTACTGTTAG